CTTCAAAACTCTTCTATTAAAAGTGGAAACCGTTTTGAAAAACACAATTATGAGAAGTATTAAGGAGTCGCTGCGTTCCCACTCTGTTCCCTTTCTACAAGAAACGCTGTAGTGACTTTAATAATTTGAATTTCTATTTCAAAARTTGAGAGAATGCTTTTTACAGTGTATATTATCCGATAATTAAAAAAAAATTGATTTCACGAAAATTCCACTCTGAGATAATTCCTTAACCAATATGTATATAAATGTTTTTAAAATTGACTTCCTGYAAAAATATATTCGAATATATGTATGAATGTCTCTAGATATAGCAAACAGAATGTTCGAAAAAACTACAAACCCGAAATCTTCTTAACCCCAAACATTCCATCATTGAAATACATATTTCATATTACAACAAAAACAAATTCATTTATACGAATCTACGGCATTTCTTTGCGCCTGGGCAACTACAATTGGTAGGCATATTGAATTCCTCATCGCAAAAGCAGGAGGATGACAAAAATTAAGTTTAAATAAAAAAAATGTAGTAAAAATGAACACACGGACATTATTTCCTTACTTCTAATCAAACTTTATATTTTTTTTACTCCTGCAACATGTTGCTACACAGTATAATAGCTTTGTTCACCCAAAACCCGTTGTCGTTAGAAATGATCGAGTTAGGCAAGTTAAGCTCCGGTTGTCTGTTCGTTTACTCGTCGTCTGTCTGCCTTGAACAGATAATATAACTGTCTATCGAATATGTGGACCTTAGAACCTACAGTTGACTTTTGACCTAAAAATGTGTGAGATATATTGAAATTCATCGATAACTCTTTCTTGATAAAAGTAAGTCTGTKTGTCAAAATTAAGTTGAGTCGAGTCATTACTTCGCCTTTCCCCCACATACCTAATATAAAGACTTTTTAAGTTCCGGTGATTTGTGATTGTATTTGAAGTACCTTGATGAAACCCTAGGAGCATTTTATTAGTCTGTGCCGTATTAGCTGCATCTCCAATATAAGTCAAGAGGGTACCAAATTTGTGTGTAATTAATTCACTATTTCTCCAGCACCTAAAGGAATTTCCCGGTCTTTAATATTTGCAATTTACAAAAGGAAGGTATAGGGTTATATACATAATATATATGTGACCTGGTCTACGGAAAGGGGGCTTAGGTGTCAAAAAATCTTAGTTGATTCGGAGGAAGATGAGATGCTTTTTCACGTGATAGAATGCAAAAAGTCATAAACTAGTTTTCGCACGTTAGCTCACTTTTCGTAAACCATGTGACCTGGTACACTTTGTTTTATTGTTATAAATACATTATATTTCTGTGACATACTGAAAAAAATTTATTCCTATTCCAAAAACGAATGATGTTATTTGAAAACTCTATGGTAATGCTAACAATTCTATAAAAAGTTTTTTTCTAACGGTACTTTTCTTACTATTGTGTTTAGTAAGCCGCATGCTAAATGGTTAATCGGGAAAATGAAAAGATTTCCTGATAGTGGAGTTAATATTTTTATAAGCTCCAGTATACCTAATATAAAAATTTTAGAACTTGTGAGTTATCTATATTGAATTCAGAGAGAGTCTCTCATGTCTGTCTTGTTGCAGTTGTCTTTGTCAATAAGGGATTACATCCATTTGCAAGTTGGAAAAACACTATTTTGTGAATTTTGTTTTGAGAGGCGTTTTATTGAAAAAATTAATTTACAGAATTTTTTTTTAATAAGACTTGATTCCGTAGCCGATCTTCAGGAGTAATCCTAAAAATAAAAAGCAAATATTATTATAGATAATCGAAGACTAGTCAAAATTTTGATTGATGAAAAATTCCGAAAAAATTCATATGTCGAAAACGTGTTTAAACAGCGATGGCACAATTCCGATTTCTTTGGCGCCGCGATTTGAAGGTACTGTTTTTAAAGAGGAAGTTCTCCTTAAAAAATATATAGGGTTATAGGTACCGCAAACGCTTAGTTTAGGAGATATTCGACCTTAAAGTCCAAAAAGTCCCAAAATTCGAACATTTCGAGAAGCTATTGCACCACATTAAACACACTTTATTCACATTTTTCTCTTCAAATTAATTAAATTAAACTATAAACTTTTAAATAAATTACACTTTTAGCAGTTTTTTTTACCTAAGAAATCTTTATTTTAAAAATTACATTTTACACCCGTAGTGAACACCATTTCTGTCATTGTATAAACCTACAGGTAACCAATCCTTCATTTTTCACTAACACACACGCAAAAATCTACTACAAATTAGGCACTTGGTTCGGGTTGCCTAAAATATTGTCCTAAAATATTCTACTACTAAAACGTTCAAATGCCTCAAATCTGCTATAGTGTGTCGCAGTATTAGGTTTTAAAGTTTATAACTTTAA